AGCATTGTTGTGTTTCAATGAACAGAAAACCTCATGACGTGGGTGGGGGATGGCTTCAAAAGACTAACCTGGGGGGGGGAGATGTGTATGGGAATGCAAAATACTCAACTGGGAGGCCAGCACCTGTGTAATAGCTACCGTGGTACCTGGAAATGGAACAGCAATTATGGTGGTCCCCACAAGCCCTATGGGAATAATGAGAAGGGGAGGAGCTCACTGGGAATCAGTGGAGGGGTGTGTACAATAGTGTACAGCAAGAGAAGATATTTGGATGTGCCCCTCTCCTATGACTATGGAGGAGCAGGATCAGTGGCCTATGGCAAGGGGTAGACAATTGCGTGTACTGTGTATGAGGAGTTTTGGTGGGAATGTACGTATATTACTAGGGGCACAATTACACCAGCCCATAACCAAACAACACCCATCTACACGCTGCTATCTGGACTTTGGTGCACAAATGGATCTGTGAATCTTATTGCTGTAAATAATCAAACCAGGGCATACGGCCTGATTCCATACCAAGTGGTCAAGCTGGTTTGGACAATATCCCATTTCTCTGTGAACATTCAATGGACTTATGATATGGACAAAAACAGGCAAAACCTGCAGGGGCAGCTTGTTGCAACTGCCAGCAACTGGACACACACAATCTTGACCCTGTCGAAGGAGGAGGGGCAGTGTTTTGGGGGTGGCTCGGATGTTGGACCATACTGCAGTGGTCAGGACTCGGTGTTGCTGTGGATTTTGTATTGTTAACTGTACTTGTGTTACGTTGCATATGGAGATTACTTATAGGTTATGTAGTAAGCCCTCCACCCCCTACAATGTTCTAGACAACCCAGACCCAACCTTCTCGGGCCCACTATAATGGGAAGGCTGGAACACTAATTGGAATAGGTGTGGTATGCCCGTACGAGAGAAGGTGCAGAGCATGATACTACCCAAGGGGCAGTGGGACAAATGGAATATCGACACCTTCCTCCTGGATGCCTGGCCGTATCAGGAAATGTGTTGCCATATCTCCTGGGCTTTTCCAGGGATACCTGGGCAGGAGGATCCCAAAAGTAAAAGAGAAAAAAAAAGGGGGTGGAGTGTTAGGATATAGGTATCCAGGCCTGCCTGTAAAGGCCCATACTCTAAGAATTTAGGTGTATTCTTATCACTTGGTTAGTTCTAGAGGTCTAAAAGAGAGAATCAAAATCACTGCTGGTGTAAGGGCCTTCTCTCCCTGTGACAGTCTGAGCCCCTGTGCTTAGGCTAAGGCCTTTGGCTAAGCAACAGAGGCAGCCATAAGCTGGGAAGCGACCGGTCACATCCTCACATTGAAAGAAGGTGCTGTTAGGGATACAGTCCTGTCCTGTTTCAGAGTAACAGCCGTGTTAATCTGTATTCGCAAAAAGAACAGGAGTACTTGTGGCACCTTAGAGACTAACCAATTTATTTGAGCATGAGCTTTCGTGAGCTACAGCTCACTTCATCGGATGCATACTGTGGAAACTGCAGAAGACATTATATACACACAGAGACCATGAAACAATACCTCCTCCCACCCCACTCTCCTGCTGGTAATAGCTTATCTAAAGTGATCACTCTTCTTACAATGTGTATGATAATCAAGGTGCCTATCACCTCCAGAGAAAGGGAAGTGCCTAGAAAATATAAAAGGAAACAGTTTGAGAGCATCCTGTCTGGCAAGAACTCACTTATCAATAGCTGGGATGTGAAATCCTCACTTCTGTGTTGTTCTGTCATTATAGTTCCCACTTTGCTATTGTTTGTCTGTATCATCTCTGTCTGGTTCTGTGATTGTTTCTGTCTGCTGTATAATTAATTTTGCTGGGTGTACGCTAATCAAGGTGGTGGGATATAATTGGTTAAATAATCATATGACAATATGTTAGGATTGGTTAGTTAAATTTCAGTAAAATGATTGGTTAAGGTATAGCTAAGCAGAACTCAAGTTTACTATATAGTCTGCAGTCAGTTAGGAAGTGGGTGGCTGTGTGGGGGAGAAATGGGAATGGGAGTGGGGAAATGGGAATCATGTTTTGCTAAGGGGGGGAATGGGAACAGGGGCACAAGTGTAAGGCTCTGTGGTGTCAGAGCTGGGAAGGGGGACACGAAGGAAGGAAACTGGAATCATGCTTGCTGGAAGTTCACCCCAATAAACATTGAATTGTTTGCACCTTTGGACTTTGGGTATTGTTGCTCTTTGTTCATGCGAGCAGGACCAGGGAAGTAAGTGGGTGAAGGAATAAGCCTCCTAATAGGGACCTTTGTGGATCTGCACACATACAGAAAGGCCTCCTGGCCAGAGGTGTGCAGGACAGCTCCTGGTGTGACTGGGACTCAGGGAAGGTTGCTAGTCCTCTGCCCATCACTAGGGTTTCCAGGTGTCTGGCTTTTGAGCAGAGCGCCTGGTCGAAAAGGGACCCTGGCGGCTCCAACCGGGCCATTAGAAGTCCAACCGGTGGTGCAGCAGGGGCCTGGGGCTAAGGCTGGCTCCCTGCCTCCCCTAGCTCTGCACGGATCCTGGAAGCAGCCACCAGCTCCTTGCGGCCCCTAGGCACATGGGCACCAGGGAGGCTCTGCATGCTGCCCCCGCCCTGCAGGTCCCATTGGCCATGAACCTTGGCCAATAGGAGCTCCGGGGGCGGCGCCTGTGGGCAGCAGGGCAGCGCGCGGAGCCTCCCTGGCCACCCATGCACCTAGGAGCTCCAGGGACCTGCTTCCTGGGAGCCACAGTAAGCGCTGCTGGGATTCCACACCCCAAACTCCCTCCCAACCCCCTGCCCCACCACAGAGTCCCCTTGTGACGAAGTGGGACTGTTCTTAATGTTTCCTCTGAATAGTGTGGGGGTGCCTCAGTTTCCCCTAGGCAGTTCTTAAGTATCTAGGGGGTGGAGTAAGGGTGTATGATCATTGCAGAGCCCTAGAGGGCAGGTGTGTGCAGGAGTCTGGACACAGAGAATGGCCGACACCCTGTTTCCTGGCAACTGATGGCCTGGGCCCTTCCCCCCTGCAAGGCGAGAGCTAAAGGGTTGGAGAACAAAGGAATCAGGTGACCACCTGGCCCGGGAAAGGAACAAAGCCCAGAGGAGGAGGGGCTGGAGGGGGTTTTCAGTTTGGGGCTGGCTGGGACATGGAGTGAAGTGCAGACGTGGTTGTCTGGCTCACTGCCCCCCAAAATGGACCCAGCTGAGGGGTCCCGTTCTCTGCACCTGCAAGCTCTGTTTTAGACCATGTTCCTGTCGTCTAATAAACCTTCTGTTTTACTGGATGGCTGAGAGTCACGTCTGACTGCGAAGTTGGGGTGCAGGACCCTCTGGCTTCCCCAGGAGCCCCGCCTGAGCGGACTCGCTGTGGGAAGCGCACGGTGGGGCAGAGGATGCTGAATGCTCCGAGGTCAGACCCAGGAAGGTGGAAGCTGAGTGAGCTGCGTGTCCTGAAGACAGGCTGCTCCCAGAAAGGCGACTGCCCCAGAGTCCTGACTGGCTTCATGGGGAGCAGTTCCAGAGCATCGCCCAGGGACTCCGTGACACCCCTCCCGCACCCAAACTCCCTCCTGGAGCCCACGCCCCCTGCCGGAGTCGTAACCCCCCTCCCAACAGTCTGCCCCAGCCCTGAGCCCCCTTGTTCACCCCAACTCCTCATCCCCAACCCACCTGGAGCCCTCACCTCCTCCAGCACTCCAAACCCCCCAGCCCCGAGCCCTCTCCTGCACCCTGAACCCCTCATTTCTAGCCCCAGCCAGAGTCCTCACCCCCCTCCCAACACCCTGCCCCAGCCCTGAGCCCCCTCCTGCACTCCAAATCCCTCATCCCTGGTCCCACCCCAGAGCTCGCACCCCCAGATGGAGCCAACACCCCAACCCCCTGCCCCAGCCTGGAGAAAGTGAGTGAGGGTGGGGGAGAGCGAGCGACAGAGGGAGGGGGAAGGAGTGAGTGGGGGGTGGGGACTCGGAGAAGGGGCAGGGCAGGGATTTGGTTTTGTGCAGTTAGAAAGTTGGCAACCCTATCTAGCCCCAGTTTCTTACCTTCCCAGCAAGAGGTTCTGAGCTGGGAACCTGTTTGCCTGCATTGACTGGTCCCTTGACCATGTACAGCTCTTGTACACGGTGACCAATTCTTTGGCAATCTGGCTGCATGTGGTTGTCCCACTGTGACTCTGCCTGCCCCCCAGGGCTCCAGTGCTTATGGGTTTCCTCTCATTTCTTTAGTAAAGTTTATTTAAAATACTCACTGAGGACACCGAATTTGGCTCTCAGAGCAGGCGGGCAGCAGGAGGAACCTGCAAAGGGGCACTAGTGCCTGGGAGGGGAAAGGCCGGGTAGAATGTGGGGCTGAACCCCTCACTGCTGGCAGAGGATCTCTGCCGGAGTCGATGCCAGCCCGTGTCCGGTCTTCTCTCTCAGCCCCAGGCTTTTGTCTCTTTTCATGAGCGGGGCAGTTCATCAACTTCAGCTGGGCCCTCTTGGGCCCTGGCCAGCAGCCGCCCTTGGGCTGCGTTTCTCTCTGGTAGTGCTCACACCTGCTTCTGGTCAGGCTGTAACCACGGGGCTGTGCCGACAGATCTCCGCTGTTCTCAGCGTCAACTGAGCCAGCCCGAGACCACCCCACCCCGAGTGACGTTTCACCTCCCGGAGATGTGGAGCCCCGTGTTCTGGGTCACGTAACGCTACCGTTTTCCCATGCAATCACCATGATGACTAGCGAGTTCCTCACTTTGGGGAGGGACCCCACATGCCCCCTTTGGTGACAGATTGGGCAGAGGGCCGGATGCAGGGGTGCTATCAGGAGAAGTATGTGTGGGGGGAAATGAGGCCCTGCTCCCCCTCTTTGGTCCCACCCCCTGTTAGCAGATTTGCCTGTTACTTTGGGGTATGCTCATTTATTAAGGTTACTCTTCTGGGAGGGGGGGTTCTGTAATTCTATCCATGTCCTGCTTGTGTCCCTTGTGTTCTCATATGGAGCTCTGCTTCTCCCTGCTGCAAGTTCCCGCCCAGTGGCGCTGTCCTGCCGGACCTCGGTTCCCAGGGCTGGGTTCCTCCAGCCCCAGAATCAGATGAGCCCACGCACACATTAACAGAGTACATGTGAGAGAGAGAGAGAAGCAACCAGCTTGACCATGAAAGTTATTTATTGCCAGGTAATAACCAGAGGGGAGCCAAACAAACAAAACAGGGATAATACTAAATCTAACTTAAACTTGATTATAAAAGTCAGTTTTAGAAACCTATAACTGATCCCACAAGTCAGGGTCAGAAGGCTACACAGAGAGACAGAGAGAGAGAGAGAGAGCTGGGTTCTCACCACTCCGTGAAGCTGGAATCGATCGGGGGGCCCAGGTGGGGGTAGATGAGGGTCCGGAGTGCTGGAGACAGGCAGAGCCCCCAGCAAGATCAGTCAGGAGAAGATGAGGTCCCAGTGGAACGGATGCACACTTTGGATCCAGGCATTAGAGCACTTACTTGAGCATGGGTCGGGGTTTGTGTAGGGAAAGAACAAGGGTTCAAGGGATTTGTTTATGGGTAAACTGATGGCTCAGGTGAGTATCCCAAGTTGTTTTGTTCAGGCTAGACAATAGGAACGGATCATTCCTGGTTAGGGGTGGTGTTCCTTGGAGGGAGCTCACAGTGCAATTAGGAAGCTTCACTATTTTGGATATCAGTCAAGGATTTATTATTAGAATTGGTCTGATAACTGCTGAGCTGGGTGTGTGCAGGCGTGGGTTCGTTAACATCTGGAGCAGAGATCCCCCATCATGCAGTGCTTCCCTGCTTTTCTGGTCCCAGAGTTCCCTGCAGTTCTTGCCTCGGAGTCTCTGTTCTCCAATCTGTATGCTAATGGAGATGCCTCCCTGTCCCATCTTCGATGCAAATGAGCCTAGGGGAGTTGCCTTTGTTCTTGTCACCCTTGTCCCAGGGGTTTAGGGGTCTCCCATGGCCTTTTCATTGCCTTTTGTCAGCCTTTCTTCTGATCGGCTTTGGTTCAAGCAGAGGCTGGGGGCGGGGGAAGGTCTTCCATGAGTCAGACAGGCTGGGAGCTGCGCCCTTGTTCCCCAAGAACACGGAGCTGATAGTTAACACCCCTGCTCCTCCTCTTCCCCCAAGGCCCTGCTCCCAGGCCAGAAGCCAGAGCCAGGCGGTGGGTGGGAGGGAGGGGCGCCCGAGAGCAGCCTCCAGCCTGCGTCTCCACCCCCAGGAGTATGCTGCTCAGGGCAGGTGGAGGGTTTGGGCTCCCCACCGCAGCCTGGGTTCCCTGGGTGGCTCTTACCATGGCCTGGCTCCGGCCTCTGGCCTGGCCAGGCAGGGCCTCAGCGTGCAGAGGAGGAGCGGGGGGCGAGGCCTCGTGGCAGCGGGGCTGAGTGGCATCGCAGGGAATCTGGGACAAATGCTGTCCCGAAACCATTCGCCCCGGGACTGGCATTTGCAATGTATATTAGTGAGACTGTCCTGCCCAATTCAGGAAGGAGTTCACCTAGTCCCTGCCCAGGGCCCTGCTGGGCCAGGCACTGCACTCACGGGTGACAACGACAGCCCCTGCCCCAAGAGCCGCAGTCTACGGGCCAGCCTGCCCTTCCCAGGGCCTCAAGACCCGCAGGGCATGGGCTGCAGCTCCCACGGTCCCCCCTGCGCTGTGTCTATCCCCAGGCTACTTCAGACTGATCCCCCAGGCTCCTGCCCCACACCCTCAGCTCTGCCCAAAGAGTCCAACGGGGCCAGACCCCTGGGGAGACCTGGCCACACAGCAGGGGCTAGTGCCCCTCGCCCGGCATTCTCAGGGACACTCTCCGCGCGGGCACAGCCGGGTTGTTAGCTAGCTGCTCACAGCACGGGATGTGCTCAGGGTGGCCCAGGGAAATGCGGGTTAAAGCCCCGACCGGTGGGGTCAGCCCGGAGCCCAGAGCCCAGCTGTAAGAGCCCCATTGTTCCAGCTCTGTCTGTCTGTCCGTCTGACCTCCTTGGGCAGTTCCCAGGTGAGCCCAGGCTCCTTCCAGCAGCCAGCACTTCCCTCCCCCTCCCACCTCCCAGGCCTGTGCTCTCAAGCTGGGGGGTCTTTGCTCAGCCTCCCTGCAGAGGTGGGGAAACCCCTCCCCAGCCTCCCCCGCCTTGGGTGCCAGGTGTCAGTGTCCTGTAATTGGATTTGCCATTGTCTTCTTGGGTCCTCCATTGATATGGGGTCAGCTGGGCCAGTCCTTTTCAATGGTGCATCCTGCCTCATACAGTCCAATGACATTCATAGCCAGGTCTCTCAGCCTGACCTGTCATTCCCCCTTCCCCACCGGGTAACCTGTGAAATATAGGGGAAACTGAGGCACACACTGGCATCATCAAATGTTTCAGAAAATTCCTGCTTTGTCCCACAGGGATCCCAGGGCTCAGTTGCATGCAGAATAATTCACTAGCAGGTGGCATGTGGGGGCGCCAGGGAGAGCCAGTCCCATCACTGTACGGTAAGGAGCCCAACACTGCATTACCCCGGTGCGCGATATCAGAGTGATTATCACACAAACCAGCCCAAACGGATCAGGCTGGTGAGGCAGAGGCAGCCCCACCCTCTGTGCCCCAGGCAGAGGAGGCGCGTCTGTGTGAACCCAGCTGCTGCTGAAGTTCCCCGCAGCTCGTCACTCTGGCTCACGGGCGAGCTCAGTCTACCCTGCTCACCTGTCTTGCTGGCTATTTCTGGCTCAGTCAAAGGTGGATGAGCCAAAGACTCCACCAGGGACTTCTCTGGTGCCAGTGGGAAGCGCTCAGGTACTGCAGCCCGGGTGACCCTGCGTCCGGGCAGGGCGGCTTGTGTCACCTTGGGCCTAAAGCTTTGAGTTTGGGTCCAACTCCCCATTCCTTGCTGGGGCTCTACCTAACCCGAAGTGGCAATGCTGGGTGCACTTGTGTATGGGCCGCTGCTGGGCATGAGGGGATGGGTTTGGAAGAGAGGAAGCTGGAAAGCTCCCAAACCCACCCAGACCTGTCTTTCCATGTAGACACCTGGTGGATTGCAACATTGCATCTGGGAGCAGCATGCAATCGGGCCAGAGACCTCTTGTACCATGTCCAAGAGATTTCCACCTTCGTCTAGGGGTGCGGAACACATCAGATTGCTGACAGCATTCCCCGGGGGTGCCTCTGTTCCCGCTCGCATATTAAATCCCAGGTAATGGGGCTCTGCCAAGAGCTTGTGCAAGCAGCATAGGGCCGCGGCTCTGAGTGCACCTGCGGCCACTGGGCCTCAGGAGTTGGCTCTCGAGAACTGTGGTCAGGCAAAAGATGCCATAGATGAAGGCCAGAAGGGACCATTCTGGAAGCCCAGTCTGCCCCTGCACCACGCAGCCCCGAGACCCTCAGCCAGTGACCCCAGGCTGGGGGAGGGGGTCTGGGGCAGTGGCGCAGTGCAGGGGGTAGCAAGCGGGGAGGGGAGGGGGTCAGGGGCAGTGGGGCAGAGCAGGGGATGGGGAAGGGAGGGGGTGTTGTCAGTCGGCGTGCGTGTTCTCTCCACGCACTGTCCCAGCCCTGCGCAGGTAGCTGGCTCAGCAGGCCCCTGCTAGCACACCCCGGACAGCCCACAGACAAAGAGGGCGCTCGGCCAGGTCTATTGCAAGGACAAGAAAGCTCGGTCCTCGCACCCTGGCTCCAGGGTTACAAGTACACAACACACGTGTGCCTGTCACAATGGCCCAGCTCAGCCAGGAATGGGACTTTCTGCTGCCCCCTCGGCTGGACACAGGGGCCCCTCCAGTGACTTCTCCTTCTAGTTACGTGTCCTGCTCCTGCCGTGGTTAGTTACCGACCTTGCACCTGCTGAATCGAACAAAACATCCCCATCCATCATCCTGTCCTTCCGTCCTTGTCTCACCTGGGGTCGGTATGTTCCTGGGCCAGCTCCCCAGAATGAGGGTATGCCGTACCTCTGTGCTGGGGTGGCCCTGGGCCACCGCTCAGGACTGGGTGTATGCCATGGGTGGGCCAACTTTTTGACCCAAGGGCCACATCTGGGTATGGATATTGTATGGCGGGCCATGAATGCTCACGAAATTGGGGGTTGGGGTGGAGAAGGGGGTGAGGGTTCTGGCTGGGAGTGCAGGCTCTAGGGTGGGGCCAGAAATGAGGAATTCAGGGTGTGGGAGGGGGTTCTGGGCTGGGGCAGGGGGTTGTGGGGGGGGAGAGCTCTAGCTGGGGGTGCGGGCTCTGGGGTAGGGCTGGTGATGAGGGGTTAGGGATGCAGGAGGTTGCTCCAGGCTGGGATGGAGGGGTTTGGAGGGTGGTAGGGGGATCAGGGCTGGGGTAGGGGTTTGGGGTGCGGGAGGAGGTGAGGGGTGCAGGCTCTAGGCAGCGCTTACCTCAAGCTGCTCCCAGAAGCAGCGGTATGTCCCCACTCCAACTCCTATGCGGAGGTGCAGCCAGGCGACTCCGCACGCTGCCCTGTCCACAGGTGCCGCCCCTGCAGCTCCCCTTGGCCGCAGTTCCCAGCCAAAGGAAGCTGCAGGGGCAGCACTTGGGGTGGGGGCAGCATGCGAAGCCTCCTGGCTGCCCCTACGTACAGGAGATAGAGGGAGGGCATGCTGCTGCTTCGGGGAGCTGCGTGGAGTGGGGCGAGCCCTGGACCCTGCTGCCTTATGGGAGCATGAGGGCCAGATTAAAATGTCTGGGGGGCTGGATGCAGCCCCCAGGTCATAGTTTGCCCACCCTTGGTCTGTGCCGTACCTCTGTGTTGGGGTGGCCATGGGCCTGCTCTTTGGAATGTGGTTACCGGAATACCCGGTGCCTGGGCCTTCCCAGTATTTTGCTTACAAGAAGCACACGGGATCTTTTTCAGGGGAAAAGGCAATACGCTGCATTTATTGAAAATACAACAGTTAACACATGCATTTAATCACTCTTACACACACACACACACACACACACGTTATCAGTCTGCCGTAGCTCGAGTCAATCTAATGGCCAGTTAGATTGAGGGCAAGTTGAGGAGCTGGGCTCTGTTGGTCGCGATCCGATGCTTCAAGGCTTTGCAGGACTGAACCCAGAGTCTTATGGCAAAACACCCCAGCTTTATACTTGTAAATTCCCACTTTAGTCTATGGATTTTGCAGTGTTTCAGAGTAACAGCTGTGTTAGTCTGTATCCGCAAAAAGAAAGGGAGGACTTGTGGCACCTTAGAGACTAACAAATATATTTGAGCATAAGCTTTTGTGAGCTACAGCTCACTTCATTGGATTCATGCAGTGGAAAATACAGTGAGGAGGTTTTATATACACAGAGAACATGAAACAATGGGTGTTACCATACAGACTGTAAGGAGAGTGATCAGGTAAGGTGAGCTATTACCAGCAGGAGAGCCAAGGGGGGGGGGAAGGGGAGGGAGGGACCTTTTGTAGTGATAATCAAGGTGGGCCATTTGCAGCAGTTGACAAGAATATGTGAGGAACAGTGCGGGGGGGAAGGGGGAGAATAAACATGGGGAAATAGTTTTACTTTGTGTAATGACCCATCCACTCCCAGTTTCTATTCAAGCCTAAGTTAATTGTATCCAGTTTGCAAATTAATTCCAATTCAGCAGTCTCTCTGAAGTTTTTTTGTTGAAGAATTGCCACTGGGTTGGGGGGAAAGGTTGTTTACTCTGCAGAGAGCCAGGTGTGACTGACACTCGGCTGTCTGGGGCCTGGGCCCATGGAGAGCCTGGTAAAGACAATGGCCACTCCAATTACCCAGACATTTGGTACCTAGCAACTAACTGGCTGTCTGCAGGAAGCCAGCCAGGTGTGACGAGCTGGAGAACAAAGGGCTGAGGAGGAGGCCAGGTGACCAGGTTTCCCAGGAATAAGAACAAAGAACTAAGGAGGGGCCCCTTGGGTTTGTTAAATGTGGGTGGCTAGAACCAGAGGGAAGCTTCTGGACTGGGACTAGAGAGGGATCATAGACTCATAGAAGATCAGGGTTAGAAGAGACCTCAGGAGGTCATCTAGTCCAAACCCCCCACCTCACCCTCCCAAAAGCAGGACCAACCCCTCTCGCCTTGGTCCCCTTTTCATTTTGATTTGTAAATGCTGCCATGATGCCTCATGGGCTTTGTAGTGCAGTTTTCTCATGTCCCCATTCTCCTCTCTGCGTCCAACTCCCAGGCTGGACTGTCCTCTTCATTATTTGCCACCCGACAGCTCTTTCCAGCATCCGAATGTCCTGCGACGCAAAGCCAAACACCTGGCCAAAATGTCAGGATCCTAGCTGGAAATGGAAACGTGTCAGTAATGATGCAGAAGAGCCCAAAGTGTGGAAGAGTTCAGAGACTGTAACCAAGCTGGAATCCTAGTTCCCTTCATCAGCCAGACTTGTGATCTTGCCAGGGAATGACTGTGTTCCCTGACTGGCATGGATTATATTTCCCTCCTTCCATTCTCTGTTGATAGAGTCCTGTGTCCGTCATTCCATTATTTTACCCAGGATCAGTGTCAGGTAACTGGCCTAAAGTTACCTAGGCCATCTTGTTTGCCCTGTTTGACAGGACATTGGCTTTCCACAATCCTCTGGCCCCTGCCTAGTTTCCTACACTCTTATTACAAATGCACATGAGTGACCTTGAGAGTTCTTCAGCCATCTCTTAAATGAAACTCGTTGATGCAGATTACCTGCTTAGCAGATCCTGTTTGACATACGCCTTAGTTCCTGTTGGACAAGAAAGTCTTTCATCCTCCTTGTAAGATATGAATATGGCTTCCAGCATGGTTCCAAACTCTGAACTCTTTCACACCTCTGGCTCTTCTGCATCATTACTGACAATTTTCCATCTCCACCTAGTCATGGGTTTTATTTGTGGTATATTTAAAACATTCTTGCTCATTGTCTTTAACTCTACTGACCATAGACATTTCATTGCTACCTTCAGCTTCTTGTATCAATCGCTGGAGGCTTTTAACTTCTGCCTGGTACCCATTGCCCTCTGCCTCCCCTTTGGCAGATAATGGATTTGCTTTTCCTTCCTCATTGCCATTTCAATGTCTCCTCTTAATCAAACGATTTTTAAGGAAAGCAGCTTTTTTTTTTGCTTTTTTTTTTTTTTTTTGGCAACTGGTAAATTGTGGCTTTGGGACACCTAGAAAATGTCCCTGGTTTGGGTCCCATCTCTCCTGACATTCTTCTGCTAATCAGTTTTGCACCTAATACTCTTTAGCTTTGGGAAATGGGGCCCCTTTAAACGGTCTGATATGGATGTTACTAGCATGAAGAGGCAGGTGCAAAAAGTGACAAATTAACCTCTCCCATTGTGAATGTTCTTCAGCATGGAAGGCTCAGCAGACAGTAAATGGACTGAGTGAGCCAAAGCCATGCCAGCTGAGTAACCAGGTAACAACGTAACCCTTCCCCTTCCCCACTGCTGTCCTCCTTTTGTGTGATTGTTAACGGTGGTGCTTGGGGCACGTCTATAATTAGGCTGTAGTTTCCTTGTGGCAGACCCTGTGACTGGACTCCTGCTGTGGGTGCAGTAAAATGACTCTGTAATAATACTAACGTGCAGGAGGTCTGGAAGCAAGACCTGTGAGTCAGCAGACCAGAGGGCGTTCCGCGAGTGGAGTTCCAAACACGCCTACAGCAAGAATGTGTGTGTGAGCAGCCAGGTGTGCAGGGCGTTTCCCAAGGAAACATGATTAAGACTGTCGCTGTTGAGCGCACAGGTCACCCTGATGGCAGAGAGACATTTCTTCAGAGGGAGCCCAATGCACGTTGCACATCCTGACTCGGAGCTGCTAACTGGTCGCAGTTCTTCCAAAGGACTTGAACGTGTAACTCAGTCACACCAAATGGCCTGCTGGTGATGAATTCTGTCGGAGGCGGAGGTAAGTGCTGTCATAAAACTGTGCACAGAATAGGGAATGTGATGGGGAGCCAGCAGCGGCAACTTGTATCAGTGTGCTGCATTCCTCTAGACACCTGGGGGAAGGTGGGCTGCTGCCTCTGGCACCAAATGTGGGCAGGACCAGGGATAGGATACAGAGGGACCTAGACAAATTAGAGGATTGGGCCAAAAGAAATCTGACGAGGTTCAACAAGGACAGGGAGGGAGGGATAGCTCAGTGGTTTGAGCATTGGCCTGCTACACCCAGGGTTGTGAGTTCAATCCTTGAGGTGGCCATTTAGGGATCTGGGGCAAAAATTGGGG